AGGAGGAGGAGTGAGGAGGAGTGAGGAGAAGGAGCTGGATCGATCCCAGGAGAGGCAGGGAGGGTGAGTGAGGAGGAGATGGGGGAGGAGCAGGCGAAGCGAGGCGTGCTCGTGAGTCCGCCTTCACCCTCTAGGAGCCGCACATCCGGGCTCGAGGTTTTCAATGTTTTCAATGTTTTCGGACGTTCTCGTCGGCAACCGCCAGCTTTCCTGCCTTGGCATGTTCTCCAGCTCCTGAGATCCTGGCGTCGAATCCTTTTTTCACCACGGGCGACTTTTCCCTGTTTCGTGCTCCGAGACCTTCGCGGATCGCTCCAGCGCGAGAGATGCCGCTGGAAGATGGGCCCCAGGGCTCTGGCCAGTTTTTGTTGGTACGATGCTGCAGTTGTTTGATCGTGACGTCGGATCTCATGGTTCGGGTTCGGATCTCAGGCTCGAGCTCCGAAGTCTTCGGAGGTTCTCGTTGGTTCCCCGCGGCTTTGCAGACTCGGGATGCTCTCCAGCAGCCGCGCCTAACCTTAACGAGAGTGTTCCAGGTGTGCCCGGATCGTCTGGAGCAGCCGCCGCAGAGCCGAGTCATGGCCTTCACCCTCCAGGACCTTGGCATCCTCGCGTCGTGAAAGATGTTCGTGCGGCGTTGGCGCGCCGGCGACGCCGGCGCAGGCGCTCAAGCTCACGTCCTGAGACGCGGAAGCATGGAGGGACAAGGTAACGCCGTTGGACCCGACGGGATTCAATCCTGAACCGTCGGGGCCGCGATGGACGCAGTGTCAAAAAACTTTGCTGATGGGCCTGTTTTCCACCACCACCACCACCACCAGAACTTGAATGGGTGGAAGGAGGAGGAGGACGAGGAGGAGGAGGAGGAGGAGGCCCACCCCCCACTCGGAACCAGAACGTGCACACCTCTCTTACCCGACGGGTTCTTGGCTTCCAATTCAGTATCGTTTATCCGATCCCCATCCCCATCCCCTTCGATACCCCCACCAAATTACCCCCCCCGTTGGGGATGCACCCCTCGAAACCCGAAGGGAACCGCCTATATCATATCCCCATCTCGGGGGGCAAATCGGCCAGTGGGGCCCAGGCCACGCCGCTGGGGATGGGGATCGGAGGCGTCACGTACAGTCGGACCGAGACTATAGATCGAGGTCGGTTCGGGGAGGGCATCCTAGTGCTCTTCGTGCCTGTTGAATGGTCTTGTGCATCCTGGGGAGGGTACCCTTGGATGGGAGAAGCGTCATGTACGTGCTCGCTTGTTTGTAAGCGTGGGCTTGGGCAAGTTCGGGCAGCGCCCGTTGGGCCACGCGGTCACGGCGTTCCCGCCCTCAGTGGCTCCCAGCCCTGATGCAATCCCCGTCCAGGGGTTACATCAGCTTGGCATCGCTTGGACGTGTGCCTTCTTTCGCGGCGAAGACCATCGAGAAGCATCCTGGATCACCGAGCAACAAAAGCACGCGCGAAATCAAACAGTACACGGGGCATGGACGTCCGAGCGATGGCGAGTCAGGGCCAGTAGAGCGGGCCGCTCAGACCGAGGCCCTACAGTGCCAGAGGCGTTCAGCGGTCACATGATTATGGGGTGGTGTTCATCTGGCGCCGCCCGGGCGCTGCAGGAGGGTCACTGTTGGCACCCAGGGGCCGTGGGTCGATCCACCACAGCCGGCCGCGGACGCCGAGGGGGAGGCGTACGCAGAGGCCCCTGGCTGCCAACCTGGGCCCCCTCCGTTTTGCGTTCGGCCCTCGCTTTGAGCCAGGGCCCATCGAAGGCGTCCGGCGAGACGTCGACCGAGAGGATCGGCGGGCCGTCGGCCTCCCCCCCCCCCCCCACAGGCCCCTGGAGAGCCTCTGGGGGGGCCCCCGCGCGCGGGGGCCTCTCGAGGCCCGGAAAAGGGCACGGCGTCGCGCCTTCGGGTCGGGACGCCGCCACTCCACGTGGACGCACCCTCGCTCTCCGTGTTGTTTTGCTCCCCTGCCGGGGGTGGTAGCAAGACTTCGCCGCCCTCGCCCCCCCCCCCTCTCTGCCGCTCGCTGTCTTGGCCTGGGGCGGCGTCGCACGGGGCCCCGCATCCCTGGAGGCGGCGGGCTCTACGGCAACCGCTGCCGCCCCCTCCGCGTCTCTCTACTGCTCCTCCTCGCCTTCTCGGCCTCGTCGTCGTCGTCGCCGTCGTCGCCGTCGCCGCTGCCGCCGCCGTCGCCGTCGCCGTTGCCGTTGCCGTCGCCGTCGCCGCAGTCGCCGTCGCAGTCGCAGTCGCCGTCGCCGTCGCCGACGTCGTCGTCGCCGACGTCGTCGTCGTCGTCGTCGTTGTCGTCGACGTCGTCTTCGTCGCCGTCGTCGTCGTCGTCGGCTGCTTCGTCGTCGTCTTCCCGCAGCCTGCTCCCGGAGTGGAGGAGGGCCCCCACGGTACTCTCTGCTTGCGCGGCCCGGGGCCGCGCAGGAGCACTGGGCGGTGTACCGGCAGGGCGCCAAGAACCTCGCCGTGGCACCCCAGGGGTGTCGAGAGAGGAGGGGGAGGAGGAGGAGGAGGAGGAGGAGGAGGAGGAGGAGGAGGAGGAGGACGAGGACGAGGAGGAGGAGGAGGAGGCGGAGGAGGAGAAGGAGGAGGAGGTGGACGGCCGCGTGCGACGCACCCGATGGCCTCGAGAAGCGTTTGCAGCAGTTGCGGCTCTCCGAGAGGCCCCCGGAAAGGCCCCGATTTTCCCGCACGGCTGCCAGAGAGAGAGAGATCTTGGTTTACTCCCTCGTTGGGCCCCGCAGATTGGCCCCAAGTTGAGTACGAACAGCGATGCTGTAAGGGCCTAGATGTGAGGGGAACTGTAAGTCCGCCATCACTGAAGATTCAGGGCCTTCTCCGCTGCTCCGCTCTACTGCCCGCCGAGAGCGTGCAGCACCGTTGTAGCGCACAGCCGCAAAGGCAAGAGGCAGCCCCCGCAGGGCCGCTGCAGCGACGAGCATCACTGGATAAGTCTTTTTGGCGCTAGACTGTGTCGCTCGAGGCTTCGGTGTCGTGCGGGTTGGTCGCACGCTACGCGTGGTATAATCCATGGCAGCGAGTCTGAGACGTCCGTTCAGACTCATTCCTGGCTCCGTTATCGTCGAGAAGCTGGCCCTGGTGAAAGGGTCGGGACTTCCAGAGACTTCGCATTGAACAGGAGACAGTTCCCCCCCCGCGCGTGTTTTGGGCGGCCACGCACTAACCGTGGGTGGGGGGGGAGGGAGGGCGGATCCTTCGCACCAGCGCCGTCTGGAATTTCCTGGGAATGGCTGATTCCCAGACGGCGCGCGTGCGAATCGTGACGTGACCAGGGGGGGAGTGGAGGGGGTGCGGGACCGCCGGTTGCGGGCGTTCTCGCGAGAAGTGACACAAGCGGGCTCCAGCTCAGTTTTCGAACTCAGACCCCCTCGCGTTGTAAAAAAAACATGGCGGGAGGTTCTTCGCTATTTCTGGCCTGCTGGGGCCCTTACCGGGCCTCGGGGCAGTCAAAAACACGTCGGGGCCCCGAACTAATCACGACGTCGGGGGTCTGGCAAGGATCCCCTCACCAGGCCCTGGGACCGTCCAAAACGGCACGGGATGAACACCCGCCGGCCCTTGAGAGGAGGAGGAGGAGGAGGAGGAGGAGGAGGAGGAGGTGCAGGAGGAGGAGGAGGAGGAGGAGGAGGAGAAAGAGAGGAGTAGGGCGTTCCAGCCTTGTTGTCTCTGTAACCACATAGCACCGAGGTTGGAGTTCAGATGGGGCCGAGGCATTGAGCGAGGCCTGCCATGCTTCCGTGAACAGCCGTGGATCGAATGTGGCATGAGAGGGGGCGCGAAGCGAAGCTAAGGAAGTGGAGGAAGTGGAGCCGGAGGAGGAGGAGGAGGAGGAGGAGGAGGAGGAGGAGAAGGAAGAGAACATGTTTCAGCTTTCAGCTTCCTACGCCATTCTCTGTCCAGTACTAGCCTCCAGTCGTACTGAGGCCATATCGCATGTCGTCTAGGTCAGTCGTCCGTCCTTTTTTGGTTTTGCCCGAACGCTGCGATCATCATCCGAGGATGAGGACGAGGAGGAGGAGGGGGAAGAGGATGAGTACGAGGAGGAGGAGGAGGGGGAGGGGGAGGGGCAGCAGGAGGACGACGACGAAAAAGACCACGACCGCCACCCTGAGGTTCAACGTTCCAGAAAATTTAAAAATTTCGCCGAAATTCCCGACCAGAGCCCTAGTCCTAGCCCTTCATCGATCCGCGAGGGCTTTGGGGCGTGAAACGGGGCCAAACCGCCCGGTGTGGAAAATTTGCCGCGCCAAGATCTCAGGTCACGACGACGATGACCACGAGAACGACGACGACGACGACGACGACGACGACGACGACGACGACGGCGACGGCGACGGCGGCGGCGACGGCGACGGCGACGGCGAGGACGACAACGACGAGGACACGGATGAGGACGAGGACGAGGACGACGACGACG